AGACACCTTCTCTGACCATCCTGTCTCCTTTGCTCTGCTTTATTTTCTCCATAGTACTTATCACAATCTGACATCATACATACATTTACTCACTGTTTTATGTATGTATGTGTTTATACTTAATTGTGTGTCTTCCTTTCACTAGGCATAGGCTTCTTTTTCTCTTTGTTCACTGATGCACCTACCCCCAGCACCCAGAAAAGTGCCTGGAGCATAGTAGGTGCTCAGTACATTCAGGTTACATTTCATGAGATATGCTGATGCGGTTCATAGCCATTTTCAGATATACTTAAATTGCCTAACTAGTTGTCTTGGTGTAGGAATGGCTTCCAGGAGCGCTCCTATTGTCCAACGTGCTAACTCACTAGTACGAGGCCCACCGTCTACTGGGGCATGACCTTACGCTCTAGTGGCTACTCCACAAGCCCCTGTATAACCGAGGTGAGTTAATGATTAAAAGAACTGAGCCAGAAGCTAGTCCATGAACACATGTTCCGAAATGTAGCTAACATGAGTTAAACATTGTGAAAGGTTTCACAAATTTCCAAAATATTTAGATGACATCACCAATATGGACTTGTGAAGTTGAAACTTTTTCTAAGCTATAATGACTAAGAAAAAGTTTCATCCAGCACACTAGAGGAAAAGAGAATTTACTGTTCTCTCTGTAGATCAGGATATTATGAAATAAGTACACACAGCCAAAAAAGTAGGCGACAAACCACAGAGGTGTGTCAGGCAGTGAATTAATAAAAACATTACGTTATCTTTGGGGATTGTGCAACGTTTGTGGTGTTTGTGAGCTCTTTTAAATGTGTAACTTGTTATTATTCCATAGTCTACATTTTCATGTTCATACCCAATTTTGTGTTGGTAACTTTGTATTTCTTTTCTTAAGGAATGCTCCCCTCCCCTACACCTCCACCAAATTCTATAAGCTCTATGGGCCCTGTTGATGACTCATTGGCTCAAAATAGGAATACGTTCTCAAGCTGTGCGATCCCCGGGCAGCGGCTGTACCTCTCTGAGACTGTTTCCTTAATAACAAAATGGGGATCATAGCACCCCTACACTGCAGGGTTGTTAAGTTTAAATAAGCCAAGGCCTGTGAGTGTTTAATGTAGACTTGGAACACACTGAGCAACGATGAATCGCAAACCCGCCTTCCAGCTAAGAACTTCTCCGCAGCTTCCGGACCCGCGGCGGCCAAGACCCGCCTGTGCGCATGCGTTCCCGGCTCTCCTCTGGTCCGCCCCTCGGCGTGGGAGCGTCCTATTCCGCTGCAGGGGGCGATAGGCGGAGTCAAGGGGCTACTTCCAGGATTTCCTCCCCTCCGAGGAACACCCCTCCTTGTATGACTGGCAGTAGTAATTAGCCAGTAAAGATTGGAGAGAAGACCGACGACCCGGCCCATTTAGGAACCTCTCATCCGAGTTGGCCAATTGCAAGCTTTGGTGGGTGGGCTCTTCTCTGAGGCGGGACACGGCGTGACGGGCGTCTGTTTTGACTAATGAGAACTCGGCTGGGAGTAAACCAGGGCCAATCAGAAGCGAGAAGGCCGGATCTTGGGGCGGGGCTGGAGCTTCGGCAGTTGAACCCCTCGCGAGGAGGGGTGTCTGTGGAGAAGGTGAGAGGCGGCGGGAGTAGCGGGTGCGCGGGCCGGGGAGGCGATCCTGGGGGGAGGGGATACTCTGGGGGAAGGTGGGCTGCGGCGGGCAGTGTAAGAGTCGAGAGGGGGTGACCTTTAACACGGATGGGCGCTCTGATGAGTGTTTGTAAGGCAGAGGGCAGCGTATGAGTGGGGGAGATGTTTTGTATTTCTCAGGAGGGTCTTTAATGGGGAAAGTGTGTAAAGCAGGCGACAGCAGGTGGTAAAATACAGAAATGCCCTTGTGATATAGCCTTGCGATTTAATGGGAGGTTTTAAGGCAAGGGGTTATTACAGCGCAGTGTGGAGGAGCGGAGGTCCTTGCGATGAGTTACAAGCTTTGATTCGGGTGGAGGGCAGGTGAGGAACTATATCGAGGGAGGAAATGAGTGAGGACTCCGGGGATGAAGGTGTGTGTTAACGAGGTGTGAAGGCATGTGATCGATACACGTAGCGTTTGTTGAGGGCTTACTATGTGCCAGGTTTTGAATGAATTAACTCTGAAAGTTCCTAACAACACTACCAGTGGTTCAGAGTGTGGGTCTGGAGTTGGGGCTGCCTGAGTTTAAATGCTGGCTTTGCCACTGGCCCTGCCACTGAACGTCACGGTGTCTTTGGGCCAATTGTTTAACCTTCTGTGCCTCAGTTTTATCATCGTTAGGGTGACCTCATCTCTTACTTGTCTATATCTCCCACCTAGTGGCCTCACCCAGTCTCTTGGCTTCACATGCTCTTTATATAATGATGTCTCCAAATGCCTGTCTGCAGTCTGGATCTCTCCCCTGAACTCCAGACTCATTTGTCCAACGGCCGACTCTTCTCTACTTGGAGGTCCAACTGACATACATGCTTTAAAAACTTGTCCCCAATCAAGCTTGTATTTCCCCCTTTCAATCTTCAAACCCAGCTCATGTCAGTTCCATCCTTTTGGGTACTCAGGACAAAAACCTTGGAATTGTCCTTGACTCTCCCTTTTCTAGTGCCCACATGGCATCTGTCAGTCGGCACATCTCATGGGCCTGTCTTCAAAGCACTTCCAGAATCTATCCATATCTCACCACCTCCCTTGCTACTGCTTTGATCCGGGCCATCACCTGCTCTTGCCTGGTCTGTTGCAGTGGCCTCCTTGCTGGGCTCCTTGCCTTTGCCCTTGACCCGCCCCCCCCCCCCCCCCAGTTGGAGGTTCCTGTTAAAACACAAGTCAGATCATGGTGTTCCCTGGTCAAGACACCCCCGTAGCTCTCACCTCACGCAGAAGTCCTTGCCAAGCTTGTAGTGCCCCCACCGGATCCAGCTCCCCCTCCACTTTGCCCCCAACTCCTGCCATTCTCCCTTGTTCACACGGCTTCAGCCACCCTGGCCTCCTCATTGTTCCTCAGACATATTGGGATGTATTGGGAGAGTCTTGGGTGGGGTGGTGGGGTCAAGATGGGGTAATAAACTGGGAAGACTGTGGCGTCCAGGGGTGTAAGGTCTCAGATCTCAGTGCTGGGGGAGCTTGTGGGAAATGCAGATTCCTGGGCCCACCCCCCCACCCCCCAAGAAGTTCTGCTTCTGCCGATTTGGGGGCCATGCCCAAGATCCCGCATTGTCATCAACCACCTGCAGCCCTCGGAGAAACCAGTTGAGAGCTTGGACAGGAGCTGTCTCATCGTTAAACCTCCCCTCTGTGGCTGGCCCTCTGCTGGGCAGTGCTGGGGAGCCTGGTGGTTGAGACAGCTCCTCACCTAGCCTGGGGGTCAGGGAGGGCTTCCTGCAGGAGTGGACGTTGGAGCTGGGACCTGGCGACAAGGGGTGAGCTGAGAGGACAAGACCTTGGCTGTATCTCCAGTACCCACAACCCCGTTTTCCTGGCATCTTGCATAGAGTAGCCCCTGATCTGTGCCAGGCCCACGGTGCTGAAGACCTAGGAATGATCAAAATCTTGGGTTTCTAGTCTGTCAACTAATCATCAGCTAGTTGCACAGATGGTAAACAGCTGACCGAAAGCCAGGCACTGTTCGAACCTCCTTCCATGTATTAATTTAATCCCCACAGTCACCCTGTGTGAGATGGGAGCTCTTATTATCCCCACTTGACTGATGGGAAAAGGCCCAGAAAGGCTAAGTGCCTTGCCCTGGGTCACGCTGTGGGCAGGTGGTGGGATGGGAGCTGAGGCCAGGAGTCCCTGTGTGTCATGCTTAAGATACGAGACCACCCAGAAGGATTGGTGCTGGGAGGGAAAGGAGCAGGGAGTTATGGGAGGAAGCAGAAGGTGGTCCGGGAAGGGTAGCTGGGTAATGTGTAGGGGATCTAGTGTGCCTTTCCCTCGCTGCAGGATTCTGGGCAAGCCTCAGTTTCGTCCTCCGTAAAATGGGGGGTGGTTACAGCAGCTGCCAGAGAGCAGAATTAAAGGATGAGTCACCGGTTGATCGGTGTGCATCGTCCTTATCTAAGGCAAAAAGCCTTTGAGGGATAGTGGGGGGGGGGGGGATTTGGATACCCCACGGGGTGGTGATGGGCTGCGGTGTGCGCTATGGAGGTGTGGATGCTGGGGAGTCCCAGAAGCCTTTCGTGTTTATGTGTTCCAGGGGGACAGTGTGGAGGGCTCTGGTCTATATTCTGCGGGAGCGCAGGGCGTAAGGGAGGGGAGTTCTAGCCGGCTCAAATTCACCCACTGGGCGGTGAGGTGAGCTTAGAATGGGGGCGGGGCCAGGCCGGTGTGTATAGTATGTGAGGTGGGGGGGGGGGGGCCACACTGCGGAGAGGCCGGCTAGGTCATGGCCAGGCTGGAACGTGTGGTGGTGGGGGCAGGAGGGCGCTGCGGAGAGGGTGGAAATAACCACCCGGGGTGGGGGCTGCCAGAGCTGGTGATTTACCCCTGTCTTGTGTGGGAGATGGTGATGTGGATTTTTCTTGGCTCGGCTCCCACCACCCCCACCGTAGGGCGAGGGCTGTGAAATCTGGAATATCCGGGGAGCGCTGTTGGGAGGGGGAGGAGCCAGGGACCGTGGTGTGGCCCTGGCAGCGGAGAGGGGAGTCATCTTAGTGAAAGACGAGAGGGAGAGGGCTGGGGTCGGAAAGTTGAGGGGGCTTGTGCGCATGTGCGTGTGTGCTGAAGCCATGATGTCATGAGGCCGGAGAAGTGGGGTCAGCTGTTGTGGGCCCGAGTGGGGTGCTGCGGTGTCCACGCGGAGCGCGCAAGGTTGAAGGGCTGACGTCACGGGTTGGCGGGGGCGGGGCCTCGAATGCAGGGT